TGCTTCTTGGCTTTTTATATGTCCACTTTGAAGAAGTGTCTATTTAGATCCTTTACCCATTTTTTAATTGGATTGTTTGTCTTCCTTTTGTTAAGTTGTATGAGTTCCTTATATATTTTGGAAATTAACCCTTTATCAGATGTATCATTGCCAAATATGTTCTCCCATACAGTTCCCTTTTCATTTTGTTGATGGTTTCTTTAGCTGTGCAGAAGCTTTTTTTTAATTTTGATGTAATCCCATTTGTTTATTTTCTCCTTAGGTTCCTTTAACCTAGGAGACATATCTATAACATATTGCTATGAGAGATGTCTGAGATTTTGCTGCCTATGGTTTCTTCTAGGATTTTTTATGGTTTCATGACTTACATTTAGGTCTTTTATCCATTTTGAGTTTATTCTTATGTATGGTGTAAATTGGTGGTCTAGTTTCTTTCTTTTTCTTTTTTTTTTTTTTGCATGTATCTGACCAATTTTCCCAACACCATTTATTGAAGAGACTGGCCTAACTCCATTGTATACTCTTGCCTCCTTTGTCAAATATCAATTGAGCATAATGGCTTAGGTCCATTTCTGGGGTCTCTATTCTGTTCCATTGATCTATATACCTGTTCTTGTGCCAGTACCAGGCTGTTTTGATTACAGTGGCTTTGTAGTATAATTTGAAATCTGGTATTGTGATCCCTCAAACTTTGTTCTTCTTTCTCAAGATTGCTGCAGCTATCCGGAGTCTTTTTTTATTCCATATAAATTTTTGGAGTATTTGTTCTATATCTGTGAAATTTGCTGTTGGTATTTTAATAGGGATTGCATTGAATCTGTAGATTGCTTTGGGTAGTGTGGACATTTTAAAGATATTAATTCTACCAATCCATCAACACGGTTTATCCTTCCATTTGTTTACATCTTCTTCTATCTCTTTTTTCAACATCTATAGTTTTCTGATTACAGGTCTTTTGCCTCCTTGGTTAAGTTTATTCCTAAGTATTTTAATTTTTTGTTGCATTGGTAAATGGGATTGCTTGTTTAGTTTCTCTTTCTGAGAATTCAGTATTGGTGTATAAAAAAAGCCATCAACTTCTGGGTGTTGATTTTGTATCCTGCTACATTGCCAAATTCATTTATTAAATCTTGTAGTGTTTTGGTAGAGTCTTTAGGGTTTTCTATGTACAATATCATGTCATCTGCGAATAATGAGAGTTTTACTTCCTCCTTTCCAATTTGGATGCCTTTTATTTCTTCTTGTCTGATTGCTGTGGCTAGGATTTCTAGTACTATGTTGAATAAGAGTGGTGAAATCGGACATCCCTGTCTTGTTCCTGTTCTTAGGGGAAATGGTTTTAGTTTTTGCCCATTGAGTGTGATGTTGGCTATAGATTTGTCACATATGGCCTTTATCATGTTGAGATATGCTCCCTCTGTTCCCACTTTGCTGAGAGTTTTTATCAAAAATGGGCATTGGATTTGTAGAATAATTTTTCTGCGTCTATTGATATGATCAGGTGAGTTTTATCTTTTAATTTATGTGATGTATCACATTATTGATTTGCAAATATTATACCAGCCTTGCATCCCTGAAATAAATCCCACTTGGTCACGGTGTAGGATCTTTTTAATATATTGCTGGATGCGATTTGCTAATAATTAGTTGAGGATTCTAGCATCTATGTTCATCAGGAATATTGGCTTGTAATTCTCTTTCTTGGTAGTGTCTTTATCTGGTTTTGGATTGGGATAATGCTGGCCTCATAAAAAGAGCTTGGAAGTGTTCCTCCCTCTTGGATGTTTTCAATTAGTTTGAGGAGGATAGGTGTTAGCTCTTCTTTGAATGTTTGGTAAAACTCCCCTGTGAAACCATCCAAACTCAGGCTTTTGTTTCCTGGGAGTCTTTTGATTGCTGCTTCTATTTCCTCAGTTGTTATTGGCCTATTCGGGTTTTCTGATTCTTCAGTTTTGGGAGATTGTATTTTTCTAGGACTTTTTCTATTTCATCCACATTGTCCAGCTTTTTGGCATATAGCGGTTCATAGTATTTTCTTACAATCCTTTTATTTCTGTGGTGTCAGTGGTTACTTCTTTGCTTTAGTTTCTGATTGTATTTATTTGGTTTCTCTTTCTTGTTTCTTGATGAGTCTGGCTAACGAACCCAGAAGTCCTACATCCTTTAAGGGGTCCCAGATTGAGAGAGGGTGCAGGCCGAGGGACCCCACTGGTGCACAAATCTGTGCACTGGGCCTCTAGTTGTTTAATAGCATGCTCTTTAGCCTCCATGTGTTTGAATGTTTTGGGGTATTTTTACTGCATTTGATTTCTAATTTCATTTCACTGTGATATGAGAAGATGCTTGATATGTTTTCAATCTTCTTGAATTTATAGAGACTTGTTTTGTGTCCTAACATGTGGTCTATCTTTGTGACTGATCCATGTGCACTTGAGAAGAATGTATATTCTGCTGTGTTGGGGAGAAATGTTCTATAAATGCCAATTAAATACATCTGATCCAGTGTGTCCTTTTTTTTTAAATTAAATCTTAATTGTTCAAATTATTACTTTGGTTCCTCTTTTTCCCCACCATAACTCCCCTCCACCCAGTT